TGCCTTAGCTAAGCCGCCGACAGCAGCAGCAGCGGAAGTAGCAGCAACACACGCAGCAGAAGGGCCTAGCCACCGAAACGAGGAGCCCGCTGCTGCTGCTGTGGCTCCCGTAGATGCAGCGGTGAGACAACCAGCAACAGCAGCAGAAGCAGCAGCAGCAGAAACAGCAACAGCAGAAGCAGCAGCAGCAGCAGCAGCAGCAGCATTTGCTGTGAGATCCACGGCAGGGCTTTCCGGCGGAGGGCCCCTAGAAAAGCAAAGCAGCTTCGGTGGGTCTCAGCAGCAAGTGGGCACCTCACTACCAAAGGAAGACCTTGGGGTGCCCGTGCAGCAGCAGCAGCAGCAGCAGCAGCAGCAATGGAGAAGCAAATCTAGGGCGCCCTCAACGGAGAAGGGACTCCGTACCTCGCATGGCTCCTTCGCGAGGCAGCAGCAGCAAAAGAGACAGCAGCGCTGCCTCACGCAGGAGCCTGTTGCTGCTGCTGCTTCTGCTGCTGCTGCTGCTGCTGCTATACGTGTGGGCCTGAAAGCCGCGAGCAGCAAAGTGCTGCTGCCCAAAACCCTTGTGCCTCCGGCAGCTCTGGGGTGTGGGGCCCAGGGGCCCCTGGGGGCCCCCGTCCCGGACTGGGCCCCCCCCTCCCGGGGCAAGGGGGCCCCCCCTGCTGCTGCAGAGGGGCCCCTCCCTGCTGCTGCGTGGGAGCCCCCACCTGCTGCTGCAGGAGGGGCCCCCCGTGCTGCTGCGAGGCGGCCACCCCGTGCTGCTGCGAGGGGAGCCCGTCCTGCTGCTGCAGAGGGGGCCCACCCTGCTGCTGCAAGGGGGGCCCCCCCTGCTGCTGCAGAGGGGGCCTCCCCTGCTGCTGGGGGGGCCCCCCTGGAGTGCGGCGTGCACAGCGCATGCAGCAGCAGCCCGGACAGGGAGTTTATTGGAGATGTTGTAAATAGATTTTTATTTATTTTAAATTCTGTTTGGCCTTGGAAAGCAAAGAAGACTCATAATTGGGGAAGAAAGCTCGACGGCAAGCCCTTTACCCCGGAGCTCGCTGTCCAGGTCTGCTGCTGCTGGTGCTGCTGCTGCTGTTGCTGCTGCAGCTGCTCTTGCTGCTGCTGCTGCTGCACTTGCTGGGGCTGCAGGCATTGGGAGTGGGCAGTAGTCGGGCGTTGGCTTGTGGATCAAATGCGGGTCCTTGTGCCGCTGCCGCTGCTGCTGCTGCTGCTGCTGCTGCTGCTGCTGCGCAGGCGATGCAGGAAGGATTCATCCCGTACATAACGACGAACTTCGCCTCCACCTGCGGGCGGGAGCCGCTGCTGCAGCACCTGGACATGTCTGTCCCGGGGCAAAGCCAAATCCCCTTTTTAGGGTTTAGCAGCAAACACCGCAAAGTCCTTGGCAGCGGAATCGGCAGCAGCTTTCTTTATTACTCTGTCTTCCCAGGCAGCACTTTTCCCATGCACTGCGAGCAAGGGGGCCTCGGCGCCTTCAACGCAGTTGTTGGCGTCTTGGCCAAACCCCTCATACGCGCATTCCGGGGGCCCCCAGGGGGGCCCCAGGGGGGCCCCCAGGGGGGCCCCCAGGGGGCCCCCCGCCCAGCGCGGCCCCCAAGGGGGCCCTGGGGGGGTCCCAAGGGGGCCCCCTGCCCAGCGGGGCCCCCAGGGGGGCCCGCAGGGGTGACCCCGGGGGGCCCCCGGGGGGGCCTCCGGCAAGGTGGGCCAGCAGGGGGGCCCCCGGGGGGGGCCCCAGAGGGACTTCCGGGGGACTCCGGCCCGGGGGGGCCCCCAGGGGGTCCCCGACCCAAGAAATCCCCAAGGGGTGCTTTGGCCCAAGCGGGCCTCCGCTCAGAGGGGCCCCAAGGAGGGCCCCCAAGGGGGGGCCCCCCACGGGGAGACCGGCCCAGGGGGGCCCCCAGGAGGGTACTGCAGGGGCCCCCAGCGGGACTTGTAGACACAGCGGGGGCCCCTGCTGAAAGACATTAAAACGACCCAAAGGGGCACTCAAAACCAAACTAACAAATAGCAAAATCCCTAACAAAATAAAGAGGGATATGGGGACCCCAAGGGGGCCCTGCCTCTGCACCCCAGGGGCATGCGAGCGATTCGTGCAGCTGCTGCTGCTGCAGGTG